TCTTTCTTTCTTTCTTTCTTTCTTTCTTTCTTTCTTTCTTTCTTTCTCCTCTCCCTCCCCTTCTTTCTCTTTGTTTATTTCTCTTTCTCTTTTTCTCTCTCTCACTTTCTCTTTCTCCCTTTTTCTTTTTCCCTTTTCTTTCTTGCTCTTTCTCTTTCCTTTCTCTTTCTTTTTTCTCACACTTTCTCGCTTCTTTCTCTTTTTCCCTTTTTCTTTTCTCTCGTTCTTTCTTTTTCTCATTCACACTTTCTCTTTCTCCCTTTTTCTTTCTTTCTTTTTCTCTTTCCCATTTTTTCTTTTATCTCTTGCTTGCTCTTCTTTTTCTTTCTTACATTTTCTCTCACACTTTCTCCCTTTTTCTTTCTTTCTCTCCTTTCCCCCTTTTTCTTTTCTCTCTTTCTTGTTCTTTCTCTTTCTCTCCTTTTCTCTTTCTCTGTTTTGTTTCCTTCCTTCCTTCCTTCCTTCCTTCCTTCCTTCCTTCCTTCCTTCCTTCCTTCCTTCCTCCCTCCCTCCCTCCCTCCATCCATCCCTTCCTTACTCCCTCCCTCCCTTCTCCATTGAAAGACCTAAGGATGATTGGTAAGATGGTGGTGTGGAGCTATCAACCACCCTTCCCTCAGCTTGGTTCCTTTTTGGGGGGAAGACATTTCTTCCTGGGTGGGTGAGCTGCACAATCTCATCCTAACTCTTACCCTCTTCTTCCTGAAAGTTATACAAAAGATGGCTTCGCGCTCCAGGAACAATACTGGAGTCGATGGGCCGAGGAAGAGACTGGAATGTCGACCTGATCCCCAAATTCCTCATGGCCTGTGGTGAGTGGCTAGAAACAGCTCTGTTATTCCGTTACTTTCATTCCTGTCCTGCTTTTCGTCCTGTAGTGTTCTGACCTAGGCTTCCCCAACGGCACAAAGCTGACTCCTCGTCCCGATAAAACCCCTTTTATTTAGTTTACAGTGAATTCCCCTCCAGCAAAGTCCTGGCAAACAGCCTTTCATGAGGTTGCACAACTACAGATTTTTTTTTATCAGGCTTGGAGAGTGGCTAGGCCAATAGCTTCCAAACGCCATGCTATAGCAGCAATGACTTGGCGAGATGTCAGGAACAGATCTTCACCCTAATTAAGCGAACCAATTGTCCCCTGCAAACCCCAACTCCCCTTTCGCTCCTCTTTATTCCCTACGGGAGGGGCCATTCACCATCCACCTGTGCCTTTACTCCCGAGTCGACCTTTTTTTCCTCAGCTGTTCCCTTCTCCTGGCAGCTCTGTGCATGCACACATTGGGAACAGGCTCCAGCTGTTCTTCTTCCCCACTGATGTCCAACTCCGAAGGCAGCTGATAACTGTCGGATGGCCTTGGCCCCACGTAGCTCCCTCTGGTGTGGGGATAAAAGTCTCTCTTCCCAGTTATTCTGTTATTCAACATACTTTCCCTGCCTGACTGGGTTCCTACTGGGCTTCCTGGTTCTTTCTGCAGGCCAACTGGTCAAGATGCTGCTGTACACAGAGGTCACTCGGTACCTGGACTTCAAGGTGATCGAAGGGAGCTTTGTCTACAAGGGTGGAAAGATCTACAAAGTCCCTTCGACCGAAGCGGAAGCTCTCGCCTCTAGTAAGCCAATCAGTCTTTTTCTCTTGATGGATCTCCTCCACGGATTACGGTGCGGGTTGCAAAATTATTTGTACAGGTAGTCCTCGACCTAACGACCATAATGGAGCCCAAAACTTTCATGCTAAGCACGACAGTGGTTAAAAATCATTGTGCCGCAACTTTACGACTTTTCTTGCCACGGTTGTTAAGCGAATCACCGCAGTTGTTAAATTAGTAAGATGGTTGTTAAGCTTCCCTCTCGATTTTGCTTGTGAAAAGGTTGCAAAAGGGGATCGCACGGCCAACCACCTGAATTTTGATCACACAGGGAAGCTTGCAGTGGTCATAAGTGTGAAAACTGGTTATAAGTTGTTGTTTTTTCAGTGCCCTTGTAACTTTGAACGGTCACTAAAATGAACAGTTGTAAATCGAGGACTCCTTATACTCCAAAACAACCTCTAGCCCCCAGCTGGGAAGAACCGATCAGAGCCCACATTGCTGCTTCTCTCTGAGCTCTAGAACAAACCAGGATAGAAGGCGCACATTTTTCACCCTCGGCATGTCAGGATTCCGGCAGTTACCCCCCCCCCCCCCATTTAAATCCTGAGTCTCGAGCCAAATTTCCAAAACTTCAAAAGGATTTATTGGGAGTTAACATGTCCAGCACTGCCTGGGTGTAGCCGACTCTGAGGCACATAATTCATTGTCACACCTTGACTCTGGTTTTCCCCCACCCCCTGGGTGTATCGTAATTCATATCCTCCAATGGGACACCTCCATAGCCCAGAGTCATCAGTCAGGCTCTCCAGCTAGAATTTTGCGTGGCAGAAACTTCAAGTCACCTTGTTACTTATCTTTGAAAACATTTATGGAATGCAATTTCGGTTTGCAAACTGCTGCACTGCTCCCCCCCTCCCTTTCTGTTGGCAACTCTACAAAGACCAGAGAAATATTGTATGAGTTGACACGGTGCTTAAAAAAAAAAAAAAAAACTTGGGGCTATCTTTTCCCCCCTTTTAAAGGTTTGATGGGCCTGTTTGAGAAAAGGCGCTTCCGGAAGTTTCTGGTCTACGTGGCCAACTTTGACGAGAACGACGCCCGCACCTTTGAAGGGGTGGATCCCAAGAGAACCACCATGCGTGACATCTACAAGAAGTTCGATCTCGGCCAGGATGTGATTGACTTCACGGGCCATGCCCTAGCCCTGTATAGGACAGATGAGTAAGCAACGCCTCTTCCCTT